CTCTCTCTCTCTCTCTCTTGGTACGGTCATCGTGGGTGATTGCACGCGTGGATCGCAATCTCTCGCGATAAAAGTTTGAGTCACCAAGAATTAATAGACCACCCGGTGAATTTCATTTACGATCATTTAAATCCACGGCATATTTCAGCCTCGTAAATCTTACGTCGTAAATTAACGAATTGAACCCGTTGTGGAAGGAAATCATCAATTTTACAAATGCAATAGAACACCGTAAAGATATAAAATATTGTCATACTTTTCCCGTCGAGTTGATAAGGTCGGGATCGAAATCGAGTTCCGCTAGTCTCCTGTAAACGAAGACAACGAGGAAAGAAAGATCCCGAGAAAACGACGGATGGTAAATTCGATTCCGGATGTGCCCGGAAACGAATTTACCATCGACGTGAGAATCGTCCTATCAATTGGGTTAACTAAAATGTGTGTCACTGTATGTGCGTGCACGCATCGGTGCGTCGTATGCGATTGAAACGCATAGCACGGTATGTAGGTTTCTATCGATAAAAATAGCATTCTGATATTTCGAAGACTTCTTTCGCGAACATCCGTTAATTATTTCGATCGATATCGTTCGCGATATCGACGCGAGAATGGAACGTTCGTGTCGATGTTGCGCGTCCGGGGTACGCACGGCGGATTCGCAGACCGTAACGAAAACGAAGGTGACGTCGACATCGACGACGACGACGACGACGACGGCGACAACGAGGAGAGCAACATGATGGTAACAACGGGCTTTCCTCGTTCGTTGTTGAGTAATCGAAGACGCCCACGATAGAATATCGACGCTCGCTCGTGAGATTCCTTTATTCGGAGTAGAGGATCCCGTGTTCTTGGGACGCGATTCCCGTGTTCGTCGATGGAACGAACGAATGCTCTGAATGAGAATCGACACTCGGGTAGGGTCTAAAAATAGCGAGAATTTGTACCTTACAGTGAACTCTGGAGCCAAATTATCCTCTTTCGCGGCTGCTTTCCGCTCCCGGGGAACTATACGAAAGATACACTATTTACACTATTGTTATCGTCTGTTACGGTAACCCCTGTCACTAAGTCTCCGCGGCTTTCGAGCTTTTCTGAGCAATCGTGCACGTTCTTCGCTTCCATTTCATTTTACCAGACATTTTTCGCGTGACGATACCGCACACAGTTCACACGCTGCCACCATCTTTATTTACTAATTTTGGACTTGAACGCTGAGGACAGGGAATGGACAGATTACAGTGATACTAGCGCCATCCTTCGACTTTATTTTCTATGCCACGAAAACACGTAACACACACACACACACATATATTTAAAAAGGGCTTTCGCGATCTTGCAAGTTTCATTTGTGATCACAGTTTTTCCAATGCGACGCTATTTATCTTACTCTGGAATACATGAATCGGTACGCAAAATATCGCTTTACATTGATTGTATCGCTTTACATTGATTGTATCGATGATATCATCGATGAAATGCTTCACTGTTTGCTGTTGCATTCCTTGTTAGTTGAAAACCATGCTGCATTTTCCAATCTCCTTTCTTTGCTAGAAGATAACCTTTACTATATGTATGATATGCACAACATGCGATAAATGTATCAAAATTCACGACAATACTCCTTGCTAAAGCTATTTAATGTGATTTTTATAAAAAAAGCAGATTATCTTATTCTAGGTTAGATCGATACGACACTGTTTGGTCGATACTCGACACAGACTTGAAAATTGTAGGTTACGTTTATGACATATAATATAGCATATGACAAATACTAAAATTCAGGCAAATATCACTTGCTAAAGTTGAATTGAATGTGATCTTTTTAAAAAACAAGTTACTTTATTATTCAAGGTCGATCTACAACACCGTGTTTGGTCGATACTCGACGCATCATATCATACACATAATACATATACAACAAATGTCAAAATACCAATTGCCGAAATTATTTAATGTAACTTTTGTAAAAAATAGATTGTCTTATTATTCAAAGTTAGATCGATCTACGACATCATGTTTGATACTTGATATAAACTTAGATTATGTTTACGAAATATACGTAACGCGTGTTGTGTAAATTTTCTGTGTGTGTAAAGATTTTAAGCGAGGAGAACTTAGTCGGTAAGAAAGGAAAATCGATGACGAACGAGAGAAGAAAGTAAAGGCGTACTTTTTATTTCTTATCCTAAGGACCCGCTACTGGTGGATTTCTTAATAACAAGACTGCTTTGGTCACCAGAATAAGCTGAATCACCTCCTAAATGATTATTTATAATTAGTGTGACCAGTGGCGAAACGATCGTTAGCGAGACCTCTGGTGGCAAACGTAGGACTACTCACAATATGCCTTATATCTCCACACAGTGTCTGTGAACTACACAGGTTAACGTGTATTTTTACACGAGAAATAATTAACATTATGGAACCTAACAAAGTCGATTGTCAAGTGCTAGAAAATGAAACCAAAGGGAACAAAAATGAAGAAGTTAATCAAGTAATATGTGGATACGATAGTTTTCACGATTACGTTCAGGTATGATTACACTAACCGCCAAACTTTGTTTCTTTTTTCTTTTCAAATGTAAATTAAACAAATTTATGTATAAAATAATTGTTCTATTCTAGGATACATTCGATACCATAAAGTTTGGAATCAAAAGTACTAATGGTTTACCAATTGAATCAAATTTTAGTTATTACTCGTGTTTTCCAAATTTCCTTAAGGGCAAGAATGAAAATACGAAATTGTTGTTGAACATTATGCAGCATTTATTAGGTACAGTTGGCATGAAAAGCAACATGTCGCATCGTGACATTGAAGAAAAGTTTGAACTTTTATTAGAAACAAACGACATATTTTTAGACAGAGCTGTAAGTTTTCATAAAAATATTGTTTTTGTTTTCCATGTTTACAAATTTTGCGTATTGTAGAACACTTTGATGGACAGAGAATGTGGCATTACTAAGAACTCGGAAGTGGAATTGGTGGTATCGCGTGTAATGAGTCAGCCGATTAATGGTGGATGGAACGATCAAGTTTGTCGGTCACAAGTCACGGAGAATTCTCAGTCCATTCGTTTATTGGCTGGTAAAAATGTCCAGAGGCCACAAATAATGTTCAAAGACAAAATTGACAATAGTTTGAATCCTTGGTGTCCAAGAATTAAAGACAAACCAAATTCCTTGAAACCTTTGGCTATTTATTTAGAAGAAGGTGAAGATGGTGAAGTTTTTAATCACCCTTATGAATATGAACTGGACATGTTTGTCCCCCCTGGCGATCAATTGGAAAAATCAGAACTAACTAAATATAAGTCCCTGGAAGAAACACCCCTAATAATCATGAAAAACCCATCAGATATCAAGTTATTGATAGAAGATTTAAAACGGTACAAAGAAATTGCTGTAGATTTGGAGCATCACTCATACAGAAGCTTTCAAGGAATTACTTGTTTGATGCAGATTTCGACGAGAGATACAGATTATTTGATAGATACTCTATCGTTGCGATCTGAATTACATGAGCTAAATGAGATTTTTACTAAGCGTACGATATTAAAAGTTTTTCATGGTGCAGATTTAGACATTCAGTGGCTTCAGAAAGATTTGTCTCTGTATGTAGTAAATATGTTCGATACACACCAAGCAGCGAAACAACTTCATCTGCCGTACTTGAGTTTAGCATATTTACTAAAACGTTACTGCAATGTAGATCCTGATAAACATTTTCAAATGGCTGATTGGCGCATAAGACCATTACCGGATGAACTTATGAAATACGCTAGAGAGGACACACATTATTTATTATATATAAAGGATATATTAAAAAATGCTTTAATAGAGATTGCTCATGGACAAATTAATATTTTGAAAGCTGTGTACGATAGAAGTACAGAGATTTGTAAAAAGACTTATATTAAACCGGTATGGAAAGAGGAAAGTTGCATGATTATATATAGAAAAAGTCAGAAAATGTTTAATAACAAACAACTTTATGCTTTAAAAGAATTGCATAAATGGAGGGATCAGACCGCCAGAGAAGAAGACGATAGCATCGCTTATGTATTACCAAATCACATGCTGTTGAACATAGCTGAAACATTACCTCGTGAAATGCAAGGAATTTTGGCGTGTTGTGATTCGATTCCACCGTTGGTTCGACAGAATTTGTTAAAACTACACAAAATAATACTGAAGGCTAGGGAACAACCACTTATTAAACCAGTTATTGAAGAAGATATCAGGCAAAGACTGACACAGAGAAACAGTATCAACAATTCAGAAGTGTGGATGCATTCTCGTCATGATATTCCTAGTGGTATGGAAGCAAGGGCAGACTTGCCATGTTTGTTGGATGAAGATAATAACACGTTAGAAAAGCCAATCTCAAATATTACGGTAGAACATACAGTGACTGTGTTTGACAGTCCAGTTTCATCTGAGGTAATATATGAATAACATATGATTGTCTTGTACAAAAATGAAGAAAAGATGGCAATTGTAATTTTTATGATTGCTTGCTTGTTCACAGGACGAGGAGATGGAAAAGGACGAACAAAAAGGTACTGGAAAGAAAAAAAAATTTGTCTTTATAAGCCCGTTTGAACGATACAAACGGGTTATACCTATGATAGCGGAAGAAGAAGCACGAGAAAGAGAAAGGCAAAGAAAAGAAGAAGAGAATAACCTAAAGAAGAAAGAGAAGGAGTTGGAAGAAAGTAAAAACCGAGTTTATGAACATTTTAAAAAAGTTTCTCAAATCGTGGCAGGAGAAAGTATATCGGAATTACCACGAAAATCATCTCAGATTCCACTGAGTCAAATGTCGGGACGTAAAAGAAAACGAGATTCAAACATTAACAAACAAGATGATACACAGAAGGAAAAAGCTGAAGATAACTCGTTAAATCTAGCCTCGCTGGAAACCAGAATTAGTTGCCATGAAAAGCAAGATTCAAATGAAACTGAGCATTTAAGAGAAAAAAGTATAAACCAGAATCAGAAACAAATATCGAATAATGAATCTGTTAATTTGTTACGGTAGGTATATTAAGACACAAGTATTAAAAAAAGTATATAGAAGAGGGAAAGAAGACTACTTTAGTTTCCGAGATAATAATAAAAAAAATAAAGTTTTGATATTGTATATTGAATTCTACTTGTATAGATATTATTGATACAATTGTGTTCGTTGTATTAGTCATTATCATAAACTGTCAAATAGCTGATGATGCAGAAGCATTTACATTGGGAATATTTTGAATTTAATGTATAATATCAAAATTTTTTATTAATATCTTGGATACCAATAAATACCCGAAGTTTGGAGTCTTGTCTCTCAAATTTCAGTTCGATTTACCATTTGCAAGTATAAGTCTTAAAAAATATCCACGTTATAATATTTATATGCATTCAAAATATGTGAAATTTCGTAAGATAATAATTGTTGATAAATTGCATATCTTTTTAGGTCGAGAAAGAAAGGGGAAAAAAATCGTATAATTAAGGATTTAAAACAAAAAGACATGATGCCGTCAAAAGTATTCGACTATAAAGCTGTAGATTTCAGTACTTTCCAAGGAGGTAGTAAAAACACGTCGAACCAAACAAACTTTGAACAAACAATGGTAAAGAAATGTATATCATTTATCTCATAAATTTATATTCAAATATCAACGTTTTATTTCTTATTTTTCTAGAAAAAAAAGAAAGAAAAAACGCGGAGAAGGAAAAAGCAGAAATTGAACATATAAATTGCAATAGATTTAAATTGCTGTGTTTACTTCATGGCGCATTATTTTATACAACGCTGTTTTTTTATTTGTATCATGTACAAATGATATATAATAAATTATGTGTGTATATATATCTAATAATATTTATATAATAGTTTAGAAATATACGTTTCTTAATAAGAATATATTTAATATTATAAATTTAGAAAAAAAATTAATTTATATAATTAATTAATTATAGAAATAAGTTTGTATTATATCGTTGTAACAGAAACATAATTTTTTTAACTACTATAGAATCTCGCATATCCAAAACTCTAATATTCAAATATCTTAATATCTGAACTTAATACAGAATTTCTGCTAATAATTGAGAAATCATTTGTTACTAGCAAACGTTCTGTTTTAGTAACACATTGTTTTAGTAACATAATTTGAATATTAAGATATTTGAAAAACATGAAGAGATCTAAACAAGCAATATTGCTTGAAATCAGTAATGTAAACTGCATATATTATTACTTGAAATTAGTAATGTAAACTGTATTATCGTTAGGTCATGACTTTAACTTGGTCCGTCGTACATATTGTCTCTTATCATTGATATGATACGTTTCTCGCTACGATTAGAAATTAAGCGAAGAAAATGATGTGGTTTATATTGATGTTTATCCAGTTTCCTGCAATTTCGGCCATGCAGAGTCATATCTTTGAAACGAGTGCAAAAACAGACACACGCGGGTATCATGTAGAAAAAAATTTATCAAGTTTTCGTAGTAAAAATTCAACAGATTTTATTTTTCCAATCTTGAATTCCTCGAGTTTTGCTCACTACCAAATACTTTCCAAAGAAAATCAAGAAGTGGATTGTTTTGGCTTGGGAAGAGGATTAGCTACAATCTTGGAATGGCTGTTTCTGATCAATCCAAATGGAACAAATGCTTTGAATGTTCAATTTTTGCTTTCTTCGAGAAGACAACCACACCGCGTTCAGGTATTTATCGGTAAACAGTTTGGTTTGGAGTGGACAGATTTTCAAATCGAGCGAAGGACAATTATGATAGTTCACGGATTCTTGTCGAATGGCCAACAATCGTGGATCAATGAAATGGAAAAGGCATTTCTTCAATGGGTGATTACATTACATTTAAATTATCGTTTTCTCATTATAGGTACGATGGTATATTTTAAAAAAAAGTAGGCCCTTGAATAAGTGATAGATGTTATTTAAATAATAATTTCTTCTCATTCTGTGTTTTAGAAAGACGTTAACGTCGTCGTCGTAGATTGGAGTGCCGGGGGCAATACTTGGAACTACTACAAAGCGGCAGTTAACACACGAGTAATAGGTTATCAAATTGCAAGGTCCTCCTTTTCATCAGCATTAGTACAGACATAGTACGTTGACCGCGAAAACTCATTGAGCCTATTCTATAAAGATTTCTAGAACATGTACAGAACACAAGCATGCATGAGAATGATTGGGGACCATTGCATTTAGTAGGCCACAGTCTTGGTGCACATATTTGCGGATTCGCCGCGAAGGAACTGAAGAAAAAACAAAGTAAATGGAGAGTTGAAAGAATAACAGGATTGGATCCTGCACAACCTTGTTTCAGGGACGTTGATTTCACGATGAAGCTTCACAAATCTGATGCATCGTTCGTTGACGTTATCCATACCAATGGGAAATTGCTCTCGCAAATAGGATTAGGTTTACCAGAACCGATAGGTTTGACAATTATACACACATCGTGATGTATACATTGTTCGTCAGGCATTTAAACGAACAAATGATTTTCATTAGGTCACGTCGATTTCTATCCTAACGGTGGCAGAAGCCAACCTGGTTGCGATTCTTCGTATTTTGAACACCTACCAATTCATCTTCGAAGTATGCACATGTATTGTTAGTTTTTAAAAAAAAAAGCTTATCGCTGTAAATTTCCTCTCGTCCCATAAAATGTCAAATTGCTTTTGCCAGTGATTAATAAGGCTGTGTGCAGTCACGGACGTTCGTACGTTTACTTGACGGAGTCGTTGATATCCGAGATTAAGCACAATTGCACCTTCTGGGCACATCATTGGGATTTGTCGTATCGAAATTTGATACAGCGAGTGGCAGCAGAGTTTTGCGATAAAAGTACCTGTACCGAGATGGGCATAAACGCGATGAATTATCCTCAGCGAGGGACATTCTTTGTCACAACTTCCAACGTTCCACCGTTCTGCAGTAAGTAAGATGTATTGCCATACACTTTTATACAAATGTGAAGCTACCAGTTGTAGTGATAAAAATCTTTTGATATTTGCAGTTAACGATAGTCGCATAATTAATGAAGTAATGGCGCAATTGGAGAGGGATTACGCGGATGAACTTTGCGATTAACGATGATCACACGTTATTACGAGTGGGTTACGAAAAGACAAATAAATAAATGAACTTTAATTAAAAGTTTTGTTACATACAACGCTTAAGTTATTCAATGCGGCTAAGTACTATTTACAATGAAATTTCTCTCGGGAATCGAACAGATTATATACATATCACGCTGTTTAATTTCATGCGTGGACGCTGCGTGAATAAGCAGTCTTCAGGTTATTTAAAGAAGAAACTACTTGCTTACTCTTTTTTTCTTCCGTCAACTATGAAAATGACTTGCGTCACGCTTGCATTTACAACTTAATTATAATATTATAAATTACAATGCGCAATATACAAACAAGGAGAAATACTTCGTTGTACAAACGTTTCCTTCTCGATGACGATTTACAAGACTGGCGGAAACATTAACTTTGTCTTGTTCTGTTTTCACGCGTTCCGCACAATTTCTATGCGTAATACGCTATTATTGGCACTTTATTAATATAAATAGATATTTAGTAATGTCTTACGAGACACGTACAATGAATATTTTCACGCTACTATAATTTAGTAGCACACGCTCGAAACAAGATGTGTTTGTACAGTGAAATTTGACTTTTTTTTTCTTTTTTTAAAGACGAGTCACGTTCCAATTTCAAGCGTACTTTGGTAGTAATTTGCTCATCTGTATAGTTAATAACTCTCGTTGTTATTCATTGTTATAATTGCATTTATACATCACACGTATTTTTCCTTCGACGTCAGTGCTTTACAAATTATGAATACTCGGGCAGAGTGAAGCGTCAAGAATAATAACTAATGAATAACTTGAACGTAAGTGGCTGGAAATATTCCAGTTCGCCCTCTACATTCGCCTATCCACCAACCATCCGGTTGTTTCTGGTGCACCGTTATCAAGTCCCCGGGACTTAGGCTAAGCTCGTCGTTCAAATTCGCCGAATATTGATAGATCGCCCTGCACTGCTCCGTTCCATCCGATTTGCCGCTGGTTTCGGTCGCGTCCACGTCTTGATTATTATTGTCTTCCGAGTGACTACTGAACTCGTCGAAATCGCTAAAGTCGTCTTCGTCCGGCGGATTCTCCGAGTTTCCGTCGCCAGCTGTCCGATCGGCCCAGTGGCGACTCTCAGCATCGTGGTCCTTCACGAGATGAACGTCCATTTCGTCTTCGTCGTACTGAATCTCGAACGATTCGTTCTTTGCCCAAGAAGGAATCTGTGTAATGTATATTTCATGTTATATGTTTTATATTATATTAATTTGATATTATATTATTGTATTTATATTAGTTTTATATTATATTATATTACATTAATGTAATATATAACACCTTGTTAGTTGAAATTTGAACAGGTGAACTTCAGATTCATCAGATTTACCTTAAGGACACTCTGCTGCAAGCCCTGTTTGTCCCTTGAAACTAAAATATGCTCGGCCAGCGGATGTTTGTCTCGTTTGCTGCCCTCTACCTCGGCCAATGTCCCGCCAACTTTGTACCTCGCTGCCTCTAGATACAGTAACATAGAACGCATCTAAAAGAAAAGAAGGAAAAAACTTGCAGAATAGAAGTTATAGGTAAAAGAAAGAGCGCAAGAAAGAGCAGTCGTACATGATGTAGCTTCTCCGTTACGTTTTGCGTGCTCTCATCCGCCGCGAATGCCGGTGTTGCGATAAAAGCTCGATGAAGAGTTTCCAAACCTTCTCTGCCGCGTCTCTCCCGTTCCAGGTCCTGTCTGATCAGATGGAGGACTCTTATCAGAGCTTGTTTCCGACGTTCCTTGTTCATCGCCAGAGTAACGTGTTCGGCATAGAAGTCTGGGAGCAACTGCTCGACGTTGCATCCCTCGTTGCTTTCTACTCTGCGTATAAGATTCTTCAAGATCTCGATATCCTGGGACACGTTGCAATTGCGTATAGGAGCTGCCAAACGGTCTGCACTCTACAAAGAGAAAGAGAAGATGGTCGATTGGTTGGTTGATCTTGCAACAACTTTGCGTAAAAACGATGTGCGATGCTACAATGCGTACCTGTTGCAAACGGGGAGCCAAGGCTTGCAAGTGTGCCAGATAAACGTTGGCGAGATCTTTGAGAGCGCTCAGTCGTTCCTCCTCGAGGAGTTCCATTTGTTTAGCACCTTTCCTCACGGTGCTTTCGTACTCGAGCCTGGCTCTCTCGGCTCTCACGCTCACCGTGTAGAATTCCGTGTCGGCCCTGCGGGACGAATCCTCAGCCTTTCTCCTCCTCGTTTCGAGCTTGCTAGCCTCCTTCTCCGTCATGTGATGACTCGATGATTTGTTGTTGCTCTGCTGGCTCTGACTGATCGATTGTAACCTTGCCAGGTCTTGCAACCTCTCGTTCTCTCTGGCACAGGCGAAACTCTGCTTTTTGCTTTTCGTCGCGATGTTACGCCACTCGTGAAGAGATTTGCCGGCTTTGTCCACTGAGTTCTCGATGGATTTCCTCGAACGACCTTGGGCCTCTGCTACCCCCACCTGCGGACATGTCTCTTTTTTCAACGCCTCTTTCTCATTCGACGAACCGAACGCGTTTATCACGAATGTGAACGAAGAAGAACAAGAATACAAAACGGACGTAACACATTGGACGCTGAGACTCTCATCTCTAATAAATACGTCTATATTTTCTCTACGATTTAGTGAAGAAGAATACGATGTGTGAATACGACAGTGATTCTAACGATGATAACACTAGAATTACCACACTGATCAAAATGACCAGTTTATAATTTTTTTGGGATAGTTCTGCAAGCTTACAGTATTTTTAGGTTAGGTTTAGGATTAAGAATTTGAATGATTTCCATAAAATATACGAATAAAAGCATTTTTATGGATTTTTTTTCTTTTTTCAAGCGTAATGTAAACTCACTCTGAGGGGCTTGGCAATTTGTTCGCTGAGCGTCATTCCCCAGATCCTGTGGGCCTCCGCAGCGGCCTCCATCTCCTCGCCGACACATCTCCATGCCTCGTTCACACCTCCGCTTCCGTTACCACCTGCGTTAGTTAAAAGTCCCCTATTTATCACACTTTGTCTCTGCTACTTTCTTCGATTAACATCGCGTGAGGCGGAATCCGCACCGAAAGAAGCGAGCAAGTTAGAAGGATACCTTGATCTTTTGCGCAGGCCTTGGTCAGTTTGTTGCTCAGCTTGCTCAACCCTTTGGCATAAGCTGCTTCTAACTCCGCCCTGAAACAGGAAAAAGCAGAAAAACGGAAGCTGTGCAAAATCTTTTTACAAAAGGAATATTTTATATTTTCAGAGAAATGACGTCCACGTTCTTAGC